CAGCTTCTGTACTTCTGTTTGTTATAAATTCTCTATATAAGGTATTTTCTTTTTACATGCATTTTGTAATCCTTTTGTGATCCATGGGCACGCTGCATATTTTTGTTTTTTACTGTATTTCTTTACTGGGCAACAGCTATTATATAACAGTTTAAAATTTCCTAAAAAAATCTCATAAGCTTTATCAATATTTTTTTCCTTATACAGCATCTCCCATTCTTGCTGGTTATAAGCTGATTAAACTTTTGATCTATAACTGTACAATAGGGAAGTGAAAGCGCTGCGGATGTCTTATGTGGAGATGGTCAGTTGAGAGGCGCCATCAACATTATTTGTATTTACATGTTCAATTTTATTCTGTTCTTTCTCACAATAAACTTCTGTCTACACCAAAAAGCTGCTGGTGTCCCAGAATTTTAATTTTAACCAACACAGCTTCAGGTCCCTTTAATTGGACCCACAGGCAGATTTGGTTTGCTGCAGGACACTCAGCTATCTTCACGTTTAACAAAATGACACAGCTGACAGATTAGCAGAATATAACAGAGTGGACCGGGAAGCACACTGATCAATGGTAAATTGTTTTCACAGTCACAGTGATGGAAATATGTTGGTCACTGATGCCCCTTCTTCCTTTGGGCCATTCAGACTGCTAACAAACTCACCTCGCCTCACCAATCTGTGCCATGGTCTGAGTGACCCTCATCACTCAGGACACTGACACATTCACACCAAGTCCTTTACACTACCTCCAAGCACTTTGCTCTCCAGTGTGTGCCTTTATCTTGTTTTGTATGTGCTCCTGATGTCTTACTATTTATATTTTATTCCTGCAAAGTTGGTGTGGATGTTCCACTCTTAATTTTATTGCAATATAGGCGCTCTTTGCAGTGAGCTAATTTTATTTTGAAATTAGTTTTATTTTGAAAATCAGTCTCCGTCCAAAACGTCTCCGTCAACACTAGACAACAAAAAAAGAAAAACCCAGTTCAATAGTCCAACCACTGCCCTAGTGGCAGCAATAGTTCTGGCGGCTGACCCAGTGGACAGCAAAACAGGTGAAGCCCGCTGTAGCAGTAGTGGCGAAACAGTTCAGGTGGCCAATCTCGGGTCCAGTGGCAGCAACCGAGCACGTCAGGCGGCCTGCCACGGGTCCAATAGCGGAGACACTGTGGCTCTGGCGGGTGGCCACGGATCCGGCAGCAGTGGAGCAGCAGCTCCTGCGGCTCCACTGCTGCAGGAGCAGTGGAGCCGTCCAGTGGTGGCGACGCTGCTGCTCCGGCGGGCGGCTATGGGTCCGACAGTTGCGGTGAAACGGTCCCGGTGGGCAGCGCGGTAGCTGCGGCGGGCAGTCACGGGTCCAGTGGCGGCGTGGCAGCTGCGGCGGGCGACAATGTAGCACAACACACGATCCCCAATGTGCTGGCCATGCAAGTTGTAGACGTGGCACCCGTGCTGCTGGACGTGGGCGGCATCAAGAGCCCGCTGGACGTGGGTGACGTGGGCGGCGTGGGGGGCGCGCTGGACCTGGAGGTCCTTCGCTCGCTGAGCTCATCCACTTGCGACGCATGCTCCTCCGGCTCGCTGAGCTCATCCACTTGCGGCGCAGGCCCCTCCGGCCCTCTGAGCACCTCCGTCTGCACTACAGCTACTGATGGTTGATCCGGAGGCGAAGATGGTGATACGGTAGCTGCAGGTGGTGAAGATGATGGTAGAGTAGGTGATGTAGATGGTGAAGCCAAGAGTGCTGCAGTCGCTGCAGTCTGAAGGTTCGCTGGTGGAGAAGTAGCTGCAGAGGGCGGAGGTGATGATGGTGTGGCAGCTACTCGCGGTAAACTGGACAGCGATGCAGGAACAACAGACGGGTGAAATGATGGCAGAGTAGGTCCAGCAGGCATATTGACCTCCAACTGAGGATGAAGATGAGAGGCTGACTGGACTAAAGACTGAGCTATAGGTAGCTGGGCAGCAGACTGAGTTAACAGAGGGGCTACAGGCTGTGCTGATGGTTGAGTAGGTGACGGCGTTTCACCAGCTTTAACAATCTCCAGGGGACCAGAGCTTTCTGAGGCCTCCAGTTCAGCCTCTGGGGAGGCCCTGGGGAAACATTCTTTCTCCATATGGCCCGATGGGGCCGAAAAGTCCCCTGAATCTGGGTCGACTGACTCCAAGCTCACCAACTCTGAGTGGACCGCTGGATAATTGTCCCACTCTAAGAAAGTCACTTTATTAGCCACACCATCAGTCTCAAAATCCTCAGAGTCATATTCAACTGCTACAGGGTCCACTGACACTGTGTTAACAGTTTCAGCTGTAGCCAAACAATCCTCAGTCTCAGAGGCCAAATGAGCCACGACATCAGAGCTTGTAACCATATTGACAGTTTGTAAACTAACCTTCTCCTTAGTTTGTTTCAGAGACTCTGTATCCTCACTCCCCAGAGGCACTCTGGGCTCCTATAACAATAAGGAGCGCCAGCGGCGCAATCGCCGTTTCCTCTTGGGCACCAAATCAATAGCAACGGTTACTTGCTGTTCCTCTGTCTCTTGATTATCAACAGAATTAGCTAAGACCACTTCTCTCTTGGATTGTGAGGGAGGATGCTCAGAACAGGTCCACAAAGCTGGGTCTGAAGATTAAATTTTAGTATCCTCTGACTCAGAGGCCAGACCCAAGCTCACAGTTGCGGGTGGGTTAGCACAAAACACGATTCCTGTTCTAATGAAATGACCAGGCCCACAACATGCTGTGTCGGTGGTCGCTGACCCCGAAGCACACACAGAAACAGGCATGGTCCTACTAGCCAACATTCCCTTTTTCTCAGATTTAGCTGGCTTCAAAGAAAAAGCCTCTATTTTCTTATTCATAGTGAACAAGTTCACAAACATGGCAGAGTCTAAGTTACTCACAGAGGCATCTTGTGCTGCTGGTCCTGAGTCAGCTGACTCTTTTGAAGCCAAAGGAGTGAGCTTTGGAGTGACAATGATGAGGATGCCATGTCCTCCTCGGAGGGTCGAAGGATTGAGCAGCAAGCGATGGCGGGAGAATTATCTGCTGGTGCCGAAAAAACCAAGCAGCGAGGGCGTTGAGGAGGGCAGCAGAATTAATCTTGCCTGGATGGCCCAAGCCAAACAGCTCGAAGCTCGAGCTTGCTCTCAAATCCATGACAATTTGAGTCAGTCTATTAATGTCCAGAAAACCCTGGGGAAAAGGAGTGGAGGACAGGAAGTCATCAAAAAATACTACCTGAAGATGCCTCCTGTGAGGATCTGCAGTCTGGATTACACTCCTGCAGAAAACCCACAGTTGCATGACTAGCTCCTCCTCTGAGGTGAAACCTGAGTCCGCTGGGTTCATTCTGGCGGGATCGTTCTGTCAGGGTTGGCTGAAGAAGAACCCAAATGCTGGACTTTTAGAATGGAGAAAGTGAGTTTATTTACACAGAAAACAGTGCCAACAGTCCACAGTGTGTGCTTTCCCAATTCCCCGTGCCGTGATTCCTCTCCGTGATGTGTGGTTGTGCTTCGTCCTCCTTGGTGCCTGTGTTCAACTGTGTACTGCTCCCTCCACACGTTTCCGTAATCACCCTGGAAACAAGTACTGCCCCATCCACTGTCCGACTAAACACGTTAACCATTCCAACAAGAAAGTATTGAAAACACAAGCTCCGCACTAACTGTATTTCTAGTTTAACGATCCCACGCCGACTGCTGCTCCACTGCTCTCTTAAGTAGAGCCCTTTGATTAGGCAGATCAGCAACAGGTGAGTTATTATCACAGGTGTGGCTGGCTCCAAGGCAGGGACTCTCCAGACCTGGTGGGGCAGCAAAACTGACACAACAACACACAGGGAAACGAGGAACGAGGAGCAGATCACACCACAACCATAAATGATTAAGAAAGACAAATAAAACTCATAATATTCTCAAAAAAATACTCAAAAAAAACCACATGATCCCTGGGTCACAGACCCAGGTCCATGACAAATGGATTGCATTCTTAAAGCGCTTTATGAGACCCTCAAAGCGCTTTAAAATTCCACTTTATAATTCCACTTTATAATTCCCCTCTGGCCATCACCAGTAGGTGTTAGGTGAAGTGTCTTGCCCAAGGACACAACGACCGAGAGTGTCCGAGCTGGGGCTCAAACCGGCAACCTTCTGATTACAAGGCGAACTGCCAACTCTTGAGCCACGATCGCCCTAAATAGCAATAATAATAATAATTATTTGATGTAAAAAAAATTATAAGAATCATTTTATATATTTTTCCATAGCATCACATTTGAATTTAACAGTTCAATCTTTCAAATAACAGACAAATATTTGTGAAATTATGATGCAATCGTGAATGTATTTTAACATACAAGTAATATGCATATGTACAGACAAATACATTTTAAAAACAAGAAAATTATGTTTTATTACATTTACAGTCATTTTACGTTAATTTACATTTGAAATGTAAAATCACAGTCTATTGATGTGAATTTGATGATATTCTAGAAGAACAGTACAAAACTGTAAAATACATAGTAAAATACTTTTATATTACAATTTTCTTTTACAGTGTAGTTAAGGCCTGGATCCAAATATTGATATGTGCTAGTTAGAATTATTATGCTCTTGATTTTCTCTGGCTGTCTCTTTTCTGCTCTGTCCTGCTAACACATCATCCTTCGTGGAACATTAAGATTCATATGTGGGTCACAGCCAGGAGGACAGAGGTGATGTAGAGACAAGGTAGAGGACTCTCTTACTTTTGTTAACAATAAATTAACATTTAACTCATTTGTAGGAATGCAGAGTCACATTCAGCTGTTACATGTAGGTGGAACTAGACTCTTTGCATTTAGTTTCACATGGTTGTTTTGGAAATGACCTGATTATGTAGTTTGGTGTCAGAGAGTGTGCAGCAGACTGACAGGAGCAGCTGTGTGTGTGTGTGTGCATTCTTCCTTAAATAGACTTCCTTCCTTTTCTCAAGCTTGATGTCCGTCTCTCTGTCAGTGCCAGATAAACAGCCGCTTGTTTATGCCATGAATTTGTCAATAGGCATTGATCCTTCTGCTCTGCATTGCTGAAACATGTCCAGATGTGAGGTAGGATATCAAAGTGTCTGTAATGGTTTTTTTTCTTCAAGTATTGTGTCATTTCTCATTATTACACATAATCTATGGACATCTGTGGTTTGATTTCTTTGTATGTGAGGATTGGATGGGTTGTTACCAACATCAGGTGATAATTTCATGTCAGCAGCACCTTCAGAAATATATTTACTTAGAAAATTGGTGACACGTGCAATGCGATCTTGCCCACTGTGTGTGGATTTTAAATCTGTTTCTAACCTACAGGAGGCGAGAAATGCAACTGACTGGTCCCAGAGACGAGAGAGGACATTTAAGAAACTTCTGAACAGCAGAAAAACATCTGGACAGACACGGGAAAAACAGCTGTCTTAAACTTTGATCACATCTGTTGATCTGAGGCCTGTTAAGAAAAAAAGATACCTGAACATCACATCATAACATCTGTATTGTAGAAATTCATTTGAAACATTAGAACAACACCTAGACAAGAGGTTCTGGCCTCTGAACACAATCACATGTAACATCTGTCCCACAGCAGAGAAACATGTGGTTTCATCACCACACAGCTGGTTGAGTTTTTGAAAACTAATCAGCTGTGTTCTCTGAACTCTGTGAACAAGGAACGTGGGAGATGGGAGGAACCGTGTGTACAGAAGAGATGAAGGAGGAGAAGAGGAGCGAAGGGAGGGAAGACAGTTTGACATCAGCAGACAGAATACGAAGATTCACCGTCAAACAATTTGGATACAATGTTCTGAGCCTGGCTCGCCGAGGTCTGAAGGTATGACAGCAACACCTGCTTTTAGGTACAAATGGCCACTGCTGCCATCTCTGTGGTTTCAATTAATAATGTACAAGCAGACATCCTGGTGTCTACACTCATACATTCAGAGTTTAGCCCTGTGAGATCCAAGTGTTATCTCAGATGCAGGTTGAAGCTCCATCATCAGCCTGCACTGTGATCAACACCTCTTTCATCCTTCTGGGAACGCAGTCAATTATTCAGATATGATCAGATATGACAGCATCTGGTTCCTCATGCCAGCCTTAATCAGTCTTCACTTATTTAAACTCCTTTGTTTGCTTTCCAACTCTTGCTGCCTATGAGCAAGTGAAAATCCACTTAGGATTGTTTTCTTTGAATCACTGCAGAGATTTTAGCTTCAAATATAAAGCGCCTTGAGGCAACTTTTACTGTGATTTGGCACTATATAAATAAAACTGAATTGAATTGAACTGAATACCACTGGTAACATAGAGCCAATTGAAACCTCACCCACTAACTATAGTTTTGAATACTGTGCAACACGTGATGAGATTCTTGTTATATACACTCAGGTCAAAAAAGGCCTTTTTCGGATAATTCTAAAATGCACATTATTTTTCAGTTTTGGGTAACCTTACCTTTGTTTAACCTCTGACAGTTCACCACTTACCTTTGTACAATTTCAGCTTTTCATTGGACTTGAATGACTTGAACTGGACAAAAAGTCGGCTGTTCTAAATCTTTTGACTGGCAGTGTGTAAACATATTTTTAACTGTAGATTTGTTTCATGTGACATTGACCCAAGTTTAAATATTTAACTTCTTCTTAACTTCTTCATCTGTCAAAATGAACACTGGCCCATTTATGCCCAAGCATTAGATCAGTGCCAGCGTGACGTTTATCAGTGACTTTTCACACAGTAATCACACCATGTGATGAAACGATGGGCATTTTCTCCTTACACAGTACAGCACAGCATGTTTTGGGCTCGTGTTAATAAATACTGATGACTTTTAAACAATGAAAATATGAGCTGGCTTCAACAGGAGAGGACATTTAGGGCATATTATTGATAACTGGTTTAAATATTAATTATTATTTTAAATGATTAAGCTGTTTTATCGAGCAACATTTAGGAGCATTCAAACATCAGGCTTTCCACATGTCAGCTGCATTTTCTGTCTTTTGTGATGTAAAAAATACTTTAGGGAGGGCTGATTAAATATGTACACTAAAGAACAGTGCTGTGAGAACTTTTCCAGCTGTGTGGTGAATTCTGAGTGGAAAGCAGCAGCTTCCTTTTCTGTTTCACTCTACAGGAGGTTCCAGATGAACTGTGGGAGTTGTTGGAGTTGGACAAGCTGAATTTGTCTCTCAACAGCCTGACTGTTCTTCCTTCTCAGCTGGCTCTGCTGTCTAACCTGGTGGTCCTCAATCTATGGGGTAACCAGGTAAACACACCTGATACCTGACATTCCTCCTCCACTGAACCATTTTAGTTTAAACATATGACATTGCAGGAGTTTGTCAGGATTCATTCAAAGACTGAATCCCACATGGTTATAGAATAATTCAAACGTATGTCGCTAAAATTTTTATAAACCAGATGTTTATTTTATGGTAGAACATATGAGGATGGAAATGAAAGCAAATACAAAGTTACACAAGAAAACACTCATGTAACACGACACACACATAGATATTTATCTCTCATGTTGATCAACAGTAACCCTTTATTGTACAAAAAAAAACTAAGGAAACACTCGTGAACCCTGTTAAACCGTTTAATGCAGTGATTTTAAAAACAGCTCTTCCATGAAATTATATCATCTTATTAGAGAACAAGTGTTGCAGGGGAGAGGACAGGCATACTATTCCACAAACACTAGATCCTACATTTCCCATGATGGACCATGAGAGTCTTGCTGAAGCCTAATAAACATCCAACAGGAGGTGTTATCCAGGTGTGTTCACGAGCTAACCAATGAGAGCATATTGATGTTCATGTGCTCAATCAGTGGAATGACCTATTAGCAGCATCAGAGTCTTAATTTAAAGTAAAAGTCATGTAGTGTACCTATGAGCGAGGTACTGACCTCCTTCCATCCCTCCTTCTGCCTCCTCCTGTGCAGCTGCTCAGTGTCCTGGATAAATAAAAGTTCTAATCCCCACTGAAATCTACCAGGATCCAGTTTCTGCCTCCACCCTCCTTCAACCTTCAGCAGCATAATGAGCCCTGAGTAGCAGCATGCATGGCAGGCTGTTTCTGTCATATGCTGTTAGCCTTGCTTAACCTGTGAGCTAAACCTGTTTGTGAAATGTTTTGTAAACAGGAAATTTTCAGCTCTCAACACTTGATAAAGTCTCTTATTCAGAGTTTTATTTTCCTCTTTGTGTGTGAAGAGGGTGTTTGGAGGACCCAGGTGCGGACACAGACAAAGGAGGCAAAACGTTTACTGAACTTAAAGTGAGCCTTTATTAGGGCCGGTAAACAGTAAAGCAAAAAGGACCAAACATAAACTATGGCAATGACCTAAACAAAGGGCCTAAACTGGGAAACAACTAAAGACTAAGAAAAACTAAGACTCTGACTTGGACTGTAACTAAGAGCTATGCACATGACATGAAAAAGCAAAGGACAGTCTTCTGGACTGGTACGTGAAAGGCTATGAGAACATGACAGCAGCAGATTACTATGAACATGACCAGAGCAGAGACTGAACAACTATGACTCATGACGTGTAGCTAGAATGACAGGAATGTTAACAGACGACGCAACACTGATACAAAGACACACTGGGCTTAAATACACTGAGGAAGTCATCAAGGAATTAGAGACAGAAGGGGAACACAGCTGGGAGGAATAAGACCTAATGAGACAGTGGGAAAAAAGCTAGAAACACTGACATAAGACAGGAACATGAACCTTCAGAGTAAAACAGGAAACAAGACACTACTAAACAAAGACGCAGACACGACACAGAGAGACAGACTAGACACTGAACTAAACCTGCAATAAACATGAGAACAAAACCTACGGACTAATCCCTAAACAAGAATAACTGAAACATAGAGTCATAATCATCATTACCATCATAATAAGAAAAGAATCCAAAATGCAAAAACACACCAAAACATAACAACTCAAAATACTGGATCAAACTGACCCAGAACCGTGACACCCTGTGTCTATAATTATTCTATATTTCAATCTGGATTTCAGGGCACTTTGTGAAGAGTTGAATTCTAACATCTTTCACTTTATTTTCCTGGAATGGCTTCTCTTATATCTATTTGCTTATATTTATGGTAAGATGCTTGTCCCTGGTGTTATTTGTGTGTTGTGTGTGTGCAGCTGAGCAATTTGCCACCAGAGATCGGTCAGCTGAGGAAACTCCGAGTTTTATTTGCCTACAGAAACAGACTTAAAGAGGTTCCTGAAGAGCTGGGCGCCTGCACACAGCTGGAGGTACTGCTGAAAATTCTTCAGCTTCTCACTTTAGTGACATTGCTACTGTGATCACTGCTCCTGAAAACAGCTCTTTAAAATGTTGTGCAGGTTTTATTTTAGCAGGTAAATATGCTTGACGTTTTCATGCATGCTCATTCATCCAGGTAAATAAATCTCCAAAAGTTGATTCTGTTCATCTGGACGTAGCGTTTTCAGTGGGAGAAACGTTTCGTCACTTGATGCACTAAATAGTTTGGGTTCAGATGGTGTTTTTTGGTGTGTGGTTTCTGTTCAGCAACTGGAGGAAAGGCTGGCCACATTTATAGTGTGGCTGATACAAAAAGCTCCTCATGTTTTGCTCTGGTTGCTATAGTTGTCTGTAGTTTTCCTTGTTGCCTGCAAATACTCAGTAGTGCATAATTTTCAACCAGAAATGGGGAATGTTTGCCTTCAAAATAAAAGTTGTTTGTCAGAACTGCAGCCACTATATTTAAAAAAGGGGTAACTTTTATTTAGAAGGGGACCCTATTTTCCATTTTGTGTCTGTTCCACGATTGGTTGAAGAATAGCTGGACAGTATTTGCGGACAAGTCTCTCATTTCCATTTAAATTGTGGGTATTATGCAGAGATTTTTGCCAACCATGTGGGGAATACTCATTTTCCCTCACGACTGATGATTGTTATGAATTAGTTTCTAGGTCTGTGCGACTTGGGTCTCATTCACTTGATCCTGCATTGTCACACATCCAAAATGACGGAGAAACGGTTTGTAGATGCATACACAGGGGACACATCATCAGTGATGTTTCCTGAGGTGAGGACCCATCCTTTTGATCCAAATCTACCTGCAGGCTCTTTCTGCGGCTTCAGTGGCAGATGTGATGCCCTACCCCTTTGTTTGTTCTCAAGCTGCTCCACTGGCACTGATTTACATGTTCTTGGTACTTTAGAGAGGTCTATAGTGTCTTGCTAGAGTCTTGCTAATGACCTACTAATTTTATTGAGGTGCGTTGCAGCAGGGACACATGGAAAAGTTTCAGGATACTGGCTCTCGAGGACTGGAGTTCATCTCCTATGGTCAAGAGTTTAGCTGAGGCTTCTCTCCAACCCTAACATAGGAGATTTTCCTTTGGCTGCAGATCTGCACTCAAAATGCATTTACCACACACTTCAGCAACTGGTCCTGGCATTTGGCCAGAGGTAGTGGCCCTCCTAAAAGGCTTTTTAGGATATTCTCCTTTGGGCATAGAAGACATGTTGGTGCTCACTCTTGTCACAGATGTGCAGATTTGCTGGACTGGGTAGCACCCCATATGCAGCTTGGCACATGAAATGAATGTGCTGAGGTGCCAGATATCATCTCAGCTTCTTGCTCTTTCTCATTTTGTCCATGCCCCTCTGCTCCTGCATGCTTACCATCCTGCTGGTCCTGAACTCCTCCTGACCTAGATGGTTTTGTCCTTAATAAGGAAGAGAGGAAATTAAAAAAAAACAACAATATGTCCGAAACCATGGCATAAACAGAAACAAGGCCACTAAATACCAAATAATAAAGAGACCTTTAGGAAACAACAGAACAGATGATTGTCAGTTAAAGGTCCTTAGCTATCAAAGGAATGTGGCCTGTAGCAGTAAGCTCTGATCCTGGCTTAAAAACCTGGTCAGGGTATTGTGCCAGCAGGGAATCTATTGAATCAAATTTGATAATTTTGTTATTGTATTTCAATAAGGAGAAATCACTTGGAAGAATTGAACATGTTCTATTGAGATAGAGAAATGGATGTATTTGGCGATTAGGCTCTGATGACCCATCATAGCAAACTGAATCGCAGCGATGACAGGATTTAGAGCAGGAGTCTAGATACTGGTGGTGAAGATGAAGACTGAGGCGTGAATAGAGCTCTGGCTGAGGTATCTGAGGTGGATATGGGAGGAAGGTGGGATGCTCGGAAGAGAGTCTGAAAGGAAGAATGACAGCGAGCACAGATTTAAACCACGAGAAGCTGATTGGCTCAAAGAAGGTGGGCAAGAAGATGATTGGATTAGAATAATGATGTCAGTATTGACAGTGTGGGAAAGCGGTAGTCATGTAAAAACAAGCAGATGAGTGATTACAGATCTTCCTTATTGAACTTATGCATAAGCTGAATTCATTTACTGCCTTGAATTAGAGCGTAAATACAATTTCAGACCTTTAGATGAAGCTCTTATGTTCAAAATTTTAATGATTATTTTTAGAACAAAGTTTTGTCACAAAGAAACTTAAAGTGAGGATTACACTATATTTTCCAGTAAGTCTTTTCCCTTAAAATAGCACAAAGTTTGCTTTGCTTTTGGTTTGGAGCTAAACAGTGCAACACAAGATTTTGGATACACCTAAAAATAAGACGACGGTATTTTTGATCCACTTGTTCTGAGGCTTGCTGGATTTGCAGTGGAAAACAGGAGTAATATATGTGGTTATCTAAACCACCTGTTCTAGGTGCTGAGTTTAGCCAACAACCAGCTGTCATCGCTGCCGGCTTCTCTTTCTAATCTGACCCAATTGAGGAAGCTCAACCTCAGTCACAACCTCATCACTCACATCCCGGGCTGTGTCTACAACATGAAGGCTCTGGTATGTTCATGTGGGGCTAATATCACAAGATCGAAATACTGTGTTTACCTGTGCTAAATTCTGGAATAAGTAGTCTGGTTATTCAGTACAACTACCTGTAGAAGATTCAGAGAGGATTAGCTAATGTGTTTAAAATCCCCAGGTGTTCCTTCACTTGGCCTGTAACCGTCTAGAGAACCTGGCAGAGAATATTCAGGCTCTGGTGGAGCTCAGAATTCTCATTGTGGAGGGAAACAGCATCCACTCATTGCCCAAGGCCCTCTGCTGCCTCACCAGGTAACCACATCACCAGGTAACCAAATCCACGTAACGCCGCCCCACTGGAGTGGCGTGTGTGTATCACATTTGTATTTGATTTGATTTCAGGCTGGAGTTACTGAATCTCGACTTTAACGACATCAAGGATGTTCCACAGGTAAACAGCTCCACTGGTGAAGGATGATGATGATGACACTAAACATTTTGATAGTAATGGTCATCGATATCTTCAGAGATGATGGTGATTATGATATTGATGACAACTGGTACCCTGGCATCTCCAGTACAGGGCTCCAATCCAGGCTTCACATTAAAGCTGTGTGATCAGCCTGCCTGTCTTTAAACCTGCTAACAGATGCTAACAGAAATTATCAATGAAAATTAGTTCAACACTTTCACCATTAATTTATTCTAACTCTAGTTTATTTCAGCCTGCCCTGTGCGCATTACCCTAGAACTGTATGAAGCATGGCTACGTGAAAGGTGAGCTCACAGACAGTCTTTCTCAGAAAAAGGAAAAAGACTCTCTCTGCATGTTGTGTCAACTTTTTGGTCCACTCTACTGCTTTCAAGCGTGTCTCTATTAGAGATGGGCCGATCCGATATTACATCGGTATCGGTCCGATACTGACCTAAATTACTGGATCGGATATTGGAGAGAAACAAAAAATGTAATCTGAACCATTAAATATCAAAAAAGCACCTCACAAAACTTGCGACACGGCGTAACTCAGCTCATAGCCGTAGCACGTCAGAGCAGTATGCGTAACGTGATAGAGCGGCTGTGGCGTGCGAGACCTGTCGGTGGTCTGGTTGAGTATTTGGAGTCTCGCTACCAAACATGTAAACAAACATGTAAAGCATTCCCACCTTAAGCTTATCAACCGATATATGGAGCGACTGCCTCTCTCTCTCTCTCTCCTGCTGCTACTTCAATCATGAAATTGATCAATGATCAGCTGATCGGCTTTTCTGTCACGAGTCTGTCTCTCTTCTTTGTTTTTGGCCCACTTTGCACCAGAAAGAGGAAACCAGCAGCTGAACAACAGCAGCATGTTTAAGCTTGATAAGCTGTTGTTAGAATTTATTTAATATAACTTTCTACACCAGGATCTTTTTCTACGTAGATGACAGCTGGTAACTGTGCAGGGGCGGATCTAGCAAAGCTTAGCCAGGGGGGCCGATAGGGCATGAACAGGGAAAAGGGGGCACAAAGACATACTTTCCTTTCTTATTCTCATTTAAAATGTCGAGCTTTTAATAAATAATTATCTGAATCTTACACCCAAAGTTTTAACCTGATGATAAATGTATAGAAGTCCATTACTGTATATAGTAACTGTTAAGTCTAATATACCCTAGTAAGCTATAGTACTTTTTCCTTTGGGAACCATCTGTGCAGTCTGCAATTCTGTTGAAGAAAGATGTTGAATCTATTTAATTATTGTAGAAAAATAATTGATTTCAGTGCATTTTTTTTTTACACCTGCATTAAATTAAAGTTGATTACATCAATTAAGCATCACGAGGCTGAGGGTGGGGTGGGGGGGGGTTCCCTATTTTTTTTTTGCTGGGAGTTTGCAACCCTATTAGTTAGGTTGTTTAATATTTCTGCTAAGTACTCTTTAAAATACCAGAATAGGGAGGATGGTGTAGGTTTAAGTTTATTAGATCGATCAGTGTTGCTGGACTATGAAATATTTTGGGTGCAGTGTATTTTTTGCATACAGGTATAACAGAATAGCTTTAGTGTTTTGTTTCTTAAACTTGAGTATGAACTTATACAAAATGCAGCAAGATATTAAAAAAACAGTTTTATTGATTAAAAAACACACTATATCGGATTCATATCAGTATCGGCAGATATCCAAATTTATGATATCGATATCGGACATAAAAAAGTGGTATCGTGCCATCTCTAGTCTGTATACATATCCCCATTCACACAACAGCATTTCTCACGCTAACGCTTAATTCTCACGTATTTCAAGTTCAATGCCATGAAAAACGTGTTTGCTCCGTTCTTTATTTCCCCACCTTTTTAAGGACACACTGACGTGTTTATTTAAACAAATGTTAATATTAGACAAAGGTAACCTGAATAAATGCAAGATGCAGATTTTTAAATGAACAGCTATTTCTTTCCTATATTAAACCTGGACCCTAACACCATGTAAAGGGTTAGGTATAATGAATCATAAGATGTATGTCTGTCTGTCTCTCCATAACCTTCAGTCTCTTTCACAAGTCTGTGATAATATTAATAATAATGGTGATAGTGGTGCTGGAAGCATGGTGATGACTTCGATGATACTGATGATGATAATGATAATAGTGATGACTTTATTGGTGATAAACACAATGGTTACTTTCAGGAGATGCACCAGCTGTCCCGGCTGGAGAAGCTTGCTTGCCATCCTCTGGATAAAGGACTTCACATTGTCCACAACCCGCTGCTAAAACCAGTGAAGGAGGTGCTGGAGGGCGGGCTCGGTGCACTTTTTAACTACCTGAGAGCAGGGTAGCTTGTAACAACCTAAGAAATGGATTTAGAACTTTTTCAATACATTTTAAGTACTTAAAGTGTTGAATAGGGAGCAGGAGTTTTTAAACTACCTTAGAGCTGCAGAATGGACTTATAACCACCCCAGGGATTTGTGCGAGGCGGGGCTTTTGTTGTTCTTAAACAACCTGTGGGTTTGGAACAGGGGCAGGTGACTGAGATGACTGAGCAGACACCTGTCATGTGTCCAAATGGATGTATGTAGACTAGTAAAATTTTTCTTAAAGAGAATTCCAATTTAATAAACTGATTTTTAAAATGCTTTATAAGTCTTCATTTCAAAAAACATTTTCGAATTGCACTTTAATAAACTGCATTTCATAAACCTTTTCCCTTTCCTGTTCGCTCAGGGATTAACATGTGGATTAGCAGTTGGATTAGCAGTTGGATTAACAACTTCATTTTAAAAATCCTGCTGCTATTCAAATTAGCCACACCGTGGGATGTAAGGAACTCTCTGATTGGTTGGACAGATGCAGGCTGTCTGCCTGGATTTTTCTAGCTCATAGCTTTGCCCTGCTAAGAAGCGTGTGTGCTTGTACAAAAGCCGTTCAGCCTCGGGATTTACACTCGGCTCGACACGGATATGTGAAGAATGAAGGGACCCTGCAGCGAAACGGAGAGCCCAACCTCTGACTGAGTGCCTGTTTACAAAGTCTGACCACCTGTGAAGGTAACGTGCTAACATGGCTAACGCTAGCATCACCGCATGTAGCCCCGTTATTTTAAGGTAATCTTAGCTTATGAAAGTTTTACGTCGCAGCTGTACGAGCTAGCTACGTGTTTTGTAAGCTGCTGTGCTCTTCACAAATAAAGCTGGAAGCAGCTCAGACTATTAGAACCAGCACTGAGGCCCGTTACATTTATACAGTGTTAGAGCAACGGCTGCAGCCTACAGCCTTTAAACTAGCGATTAAAATGCTGACAGTAAACTCGTCAGTCCAGATGTTACCACATTACTCTATGGTAGAGTTAAAACAACTGAGACATGCTGATTAAAATAACAACTGTCAGTTGTCTCATTCAGCATATAAAGACTGGAGATCACACTACTGATTTCAGTTCATTTAATATGTGAGTGCAGATTCATTCTCAACTGGACATAAACGATGATCAAAGGTTGTATATATGATGAAGTCATCAAATCCCAGCCTCTAACACAGTGTGCTGAATCTTAGCTTTGAATGTCCAGTATATTCTAATCAGTGCAATGTAAGCATTCACTGAACCTACAGTATCTACACCTGTGTGGTAAATGTGTGGTAAAGACACAGATAATGAAATTTAATTATTAATACAATATACATCATTAGAAACAAAAGCTGAAATTGATTCAGTTTAGTACTTTTCTTTGTATGCTCTGTGATTATAAAGGCCTTAAATTCTGTGATATATACTGTAAATGATTTTCACAGAGGTCTTAACGTACTTAAATCTCTGCTGATAGTCTGGTTGTTTATATTTTCACATGTTTTTGTGTCTGTAGGGCTGTTTGATGACGGTTTGGACTCCTCTGGGAGATGAGAACACACCCACACCTGTTCCATACTGCAGCCATTGATGGTGTTACGGCTCTGAGTCAGCTTTGGGGCATCAGACGCACACACTGGAAAACCAGCACCGGGACTTCATGCAGGAGAGACGGCCTCAGTGATTTTGGTTCATAAGCTAGTTCAAACATTTCTGGCCTCTTATCACTTAGATTTCTTAATCTTAAAAGTGAATGCATTTAAAGCAGGAACTGCACACCTAGCCATCAGAAGTTTGGCAACACGAGTACTGTAAAGTTTTGTAGGGTCCTTGTTAAAAATTCCACAAGTGTGACCTCTGTGTAGTGTCTTCTCTGGTCTGCATTCACAACAAAAAGGCAATGGTTAGAATGCTCTCTTTTTAATGTCGTGGGCAATCAGCACAAAATCTCGCAGGAATCCTCCATTATTCTGAGGATTACCCAGAATCCCTTGCCCTTTGTGAATGTTGCAGGGTGAGTTTTTCAGTAGGTGGCGCCAATGTCCCATTTAGTGGGATTTAACTTCGATTTAACTCTGTTACACACCCCTCCTTAAATCCTGCTAAATTTGGGCATGACCACATAAAAACAGGAAGGTCCAGTGTGTCTGGTAGTGAAGAAATGATGAAGTCTCTGACCAGGCGTTCAAAGCACTTCATCACTACTGAGGTGAGGGCTACAGGGCAATAGTCATTGAGAGAAGCAGGGTGGGGTTTCTTCGGGACAGGAACAATGATGGACTCCTTGAAGCATGTGGGGATCACCGACTGAGATAAAGAGATGTTGAATATCTCAGTGAACACGGGAGCTAGCTGGTATGCGCAGGCTCTGAGGATACGACCTGGGATGCCGTCTGGTCCTGCTGCTTTCCTGGTGTTCACTCTCTTGAAGGCTCTCCTCACGTCATGCTCGGAGATGACGAGCACGTTTCCGGTGTTGGCAGTATCTTCCTGTCTGCAGCCGTTAGCGCCGCTAGCACTAGCATCGTTGGAACCCTTAGCTGCAGCCTCGAAGCGAACATAGAAAGTGTTCAGCTCGTCTGCCAGAGTCACGTCCGCGTTCGTCATACCGGTTGTTGGTTAATCCGTTATTGTCCTTAGTCCCTGCCACAGGCTCCTAGAGTCACTCTGTTGGAGTTGTGACTCTAGTTTCCTCCCATAGCGCTGCTTCGCCTCTTTCACCGCCTTCCGCACGTCATATGACGCAGCTTTGTACGGGTCCATGTCCCCCATCCTGAGTCCCGTGTTGTAGGCAGCTGTGCGGGATCTCAGAGCGTCGCAGATGGTTTTATCCACCCACGGCTTCTGGTTGGGAAACGTTGTGATAGTCTTTGTCTCCACGGTATCATCCGCTAGTTTCCCGATGAATCCCACAACCGCTTCCGTAAACACGTTGACGTCATCATCGGAGCTGTTTCTGAACATGTCCCAGTCTGCGTCGTCGAGTGTGTCCTGTAACGCGGCCACCGATTGATCCGTCCAGCGCGCGACCTTCCTCTGAACCGGAAATTTCTGTTTCAGCCTTTGTTTGTATTTTGGCATGAGGAAGATGGTGGCGTGATCGGATTTGCCAAATGGAGGGCGGGATTGTGCCTTGTAGCCGTCCTTGACCGTAGTGTAGCAGTGGTCCAGTGTCCTTTCACCTCTGGTGGGGCAGGTGATATGTTGATGAAAGTTCGGCGCTGCGC